ACTGGCTTTATTTGAGCACGGAATCTGGCTCATATGGTCGAGGAACACCTGACTTGGATTATATCATAGGAAACGAATAGCACGAAGTCCTATGTGGTATGCCTCTCTTCTTGGAAGTGAAAGAGCTGAATATTAGGTCACCAGAGCAAGACTAGTTGGTCACTAATTTAAGCGCCTTGTCTGTTGTGTTTAGTACCGTGTTTATCCAGGGAAAGCGCATCTAATCTGTTGATTGATTCAGAGACTCGTGTGTTTTCCGTGTGCGTGGGTAACAGTTGGTCAGAGGTCAGATGGGACCACTAATGTAAAACTCGTAGAACAACATCGGACTTGCTTGCGGAGAAGATAATTTCATTGATACCTGTCTGTTTTCATCAGATGACTCCGGCTCTCTCTCTCTCTCTCTCTCTCTCTCTCTCTCTCTCTCTCTCTCTCTCTCTCTCTCTCTCTCTCTCTCCCTCTCCCGTTTGTATCCCGGCACTCACCCTATACCGTCCTTGCTTACCTCTGTTTTCACTCGACGCCGCTCGGTTTAGATCACGCGAATCCCAACACCAAACATCCTATAAGGCCACTACCATTGCGAATCGCCGTGCCACTCGGCCTTAGAGCGGTGCGACGCCGGTTTTCAGCCGTCATTAGTCAGCTGGCCGCTGGTTTTGCTGTCTGCTGGTGACATGTGACGGTCTGCAGCAGGGCACCGTCAGCTGGACGGAAAATTGGGGGAGCCGAGAGGAGGAATTAGAAATTTAACCTACCGAATTCGGCGCCAGTGAAAATTACATCGAATTTGTAGCATATTTTTAATTGCGAAAACTCTACCGAATATCGCATAAGGGCGTCTGATTTTATTCAAGTTTTGGTAATTTGCATATTGTGATGAACATAGAGAGCTAAATTTCGCCTTTTCTGTACCAACCTTGGCGTCTCTCGACTGAACCATTTACTTCTGAGACTGCGTGCCAGATGTCATGCACATAACTCTAACTGGGTGAGCGGTCTCCTTTCCAAGACATTCAGAGTTGGACCGTACTGCTCACAGTCACATGACGGACCCCATTGTGTCTCAGCGCGCCCGGCGAGGCAACAATGGGGCACGCGACGCCCGACCGTCTGCCTCTCCTTTCCTTCTGACACCTTGTGGCACCCTTCTGTGCGCCCCCTCCGTCGAAACCGGCGCCGTCTGCCGGTCTTTTCTCGCCAGGCGGCGGTTTGGGTAGAATCCGCCCTCCGCTGTGCGACGCGGGCCGTCGCGCCGGCTTAGCGCTGCCGTGAAAAGGAGTGTGAATTCACAATTCTCGTGAGAGACTAGCCGGCGGCGGGGATGGGAGCCGCTTTTAGCCGGGATTTCGGCCCGAAACCGACCGGCTGGTCGGCGGGTGAATGGTGGCGACGGTTATCTGCATATTCATGCGGTTATGATAGGACTTTTCGGTGATATATTGTGGCGGCGGCCGGCGCCGGTGGTGGCAGTGACGCAGGCAGAACTCTTTGTGTCGGGGATCGCTGAGGCTTAGGTGCTGTTTTTGGCGTGCTGTTGATCTTAGGCACGGGGAGGAGGGGCCGGGTAGTAACATACGGACGCTGGCCTATTTCAAAGCGATGACGGTGGCGGTTTTTTAGTGTGCTTGTTTAGCGAGCCGTTAATGTCCTAAGCGTACAATGATGACGGAATTTTCACTTCCCCATAAATCGAAGCATTCCAACGGCATTCAATGCGCTATACAGAGCATCAAAACGATGCTCCAGTGCATCGCCGGGTAAGGCATCCCCCCCCCCCCACACACACACACACATACACCCTATGGCTGGTTTGGGGTTGGTCTGTGCCAGGTAGATAGAAGCCAGCGAACCCTTCCAGTTGTGCGCTCTGCTCATTCAGATAGAGGCACTGGCGGAAATTGAGCCATCATATTTGATGGTTTGACTCAGCACTCGGAAATTGTTCGAGACCAAACTGTTATTCGCATAGGGAGTTCACAAATGCTGTTCACATTTGTTGCGCTAGGTTCTCCACAGTGTAGAGTATGCAACTCATTTCATTGACTTCAGTAGAGAATGCAGACTGACTTCACTGATTGAAGGTAGACTGAGTGACTGACTTCACTGATTGAATAGACTGACTGCAATAGAGAATGCAGGCTTGTGCCTCAGTCTGAACATTAGAAAGAATGCATTTCCCGCAGAGCTAAAAAAAAAAATTCCGAAAATTATCGCCTCTCAACCAATAACAGCTCTTACGCCTTTGAGACAGAAGTTTGGATGATGAGGCCTGGATTTACATTCTGTCAGTGGCTGGACTTCAGCCTGCCGGTTTCGTCTGCTGAGGCGGATCGAAGTGCTGCTGTGGAACAGAACCGGTACCTGCTGCCATCTGGCGGCTGGTTCTACTTCCTGCCGCCAGGGCGCTCTGCTGTCGCTGCGGAGAAGCGGGTCCAGCGGTAGCTGATGAGGGGCTTTGGATAGAATGCTTGCAGGGAAAGCATGATACTCCCTATTCACAAAGGTTGTGTTACACAGTTAGTGTATTTTTACATTGCTCAGAACACTCACCTTCTGTTCCCTGCACCTGTTCACCATTCGCTCTGAGCTCGTACAGCATTCGTCTCCTTTCACACTGCCTCATCCCTCTCCTCCCTCCCTCCCTCCCTCCCTCGCTCTCTCTGCCCAGTCCCCCCCCCCCGTCTTCCGTCCGCCACCCCACCCACGTCCGTCCACTCCCGTCCACTGCGGGTCCGTGCTCCATTCATTTCTTGCCGGCGGGTCATCTATACTTGTCTCACGGACGCGTTGTGTTGCATTAGTTTGGCCAGCCAGGCATGTCTTATGCCCATTCTCAACCCACATCAGACAGTCAGCACATCATCACAGTCCAACGGCAACACATCACAACACTGATAACAGCACAGTGTGTCACGGTATATCACAGCATATCCCAGCTTACGTTTAAAGGGACTATCCCACCTTTAACATGGGGTTTGAGTTGAGATAGCCAAGTTTGCGGCGAGGTTCAGAAACCACTATCTATCTAGGTTGCAACCCCCGCGGCCTCTTGGTGTTGAAGAAATTCGTTCCCTTCGTTTGAAAATGGGCCTTGTACAAGGCCCTATCTTCAACATGGAGCGACCGTTAGTGTGACGTCACCTCGTTTAGTCATTCTGATTTAAATGGGTTTGTTCGTTGAAAAATCGCTTAAAACTTGGTCTGAACTTTGTTGTGGTGCCTACAGAGTAAAAAGAATCAGCTTTACGACAGTAATGTGGCCTGGGGAAGGAGGTAATTTTGGGCTGTGACGTCACATATTTGAAAGTTTGTGTTTGGAATATGGGAAGCCTAAGATGTTTAATGAAAAATAAATGCCAGAACCGTGTTCCTGGTCATCCAATCTATAAAGTCGGGCACAATTTAACTAGTTTTAACAACATTTTAGAAGGTGGGATAGTCCCTTTAATGGACCATTCGGCTCAGACCAGCACAGCGGTGCCCAGTCTGTGCTGGTCCATCTCAGCCCCAAATCAACCCGAACCAGCCAACAAAGCCCGACCCGGCCAACGTAGCTCAACCCAGCTTAGCAAAGCCCTAGCCCAACTCAGCCCCAACGCAGTCCCAGCCCAGCCCATCCCGTCGGTCAGGTCGACTCAGCTCATCTATTTGTTGACGCTGTGGAGTGCGACCGTGTGTCCTGATTTCGCGGTCCGCCCCCGCCCGCTCAGCCAGCCGGGCACCTGGGATGGACCCGTTTTTGTGGGCGGTCTGTAATGGTGCCTGAGAGAGGGGAGGGGGAGAGAGAGAGAGAGAGAGAGAGAGAGAGAGAGAGGGGGGGGGGGACGGAAAGAGGCTGTGGTGGGCGTGAATTCCGAGAAGGAAATGGGGAGCTGAACGTTGATAGAGACGCGGCATATGATCGGTTTTGTGCTCCCTTGTATACTGCGGCCGGGCGCTTATTTGCGGTGTTTGCGTTTGGCGGCTGGCGGGCGACTTTTAGTCGTTTTCGGTCAGCAGTTAGCGTCGGTGCGGTGCGGGCGGTTTTATTTTTTTCGGCGTTTCGGCGTTTTTTTCTGTGTGGTTTGCGGCGGTCGGGCGATTTTTTTGCCGTTTGCGTTGGCTTTTCGGGCGTGCGTTTTACACGTTTTGCGGTGTTTACGTTTTGCGGCGGGCGGGCGTTTTTTGTTTTTTGCGGTGTTTGTCTTTGGCGGCGGGCGGGCGGGCGGGCGATGCGGGCGGTTTTCTTTTTTTTGCGTCGTTTGCGGTGTGAAATTTGTTTGCGGTTGGCGGCCGCTTTTTCGTTTTTTTGCGTTTTTTTTTTGGCGGCGGGCGGGCGATTTTTAGGCGTTTTCGGTTGGCGGTTAGCGGGCGTGCGATGCGGGTGGTTTTATTGTTTTGCGGCGTTTTTGCGTTTTTTTATTTGCGGTTTGCGGCGGGCGGGCGTTTGTTTATTTTTTGCGACCTTTGCGTTGGCGTTTCGGGCGTGCGTTTTGCGCGTTTTGCGGTGTTTGCGTTTTGCGGCGGGCGGGCGTTTTTCACAATTCAAAGTTCAAACCTTCGGGCCACAGCGCTCCTCGAGAAGCGCTGCCCTCGAGTATATTTTTTGGATCTCGCATTCAGCAGTGGGTAAAGTACATTGGAAAGATTATGATCGATTTTTATGCGAAATCAGTCGGCTAAACAATGTCGAATGTGATCGGCATTACAAGATGTATTCAGCCATCAACCATGCAGTGAAACTATTTGGCTTGCACCTAGAAAGTGAATGGTTTCTCAGGCTACGGATACCCACGGATACCCACGGATACCCATCCAAAAAAGTGCCTGGCGGCAATTGAATGCACGTCTCCAAAGTGTCGTGCATGGTTTCTATATGAAAGTTCTGTATCTGCTGGACTGTGCTGGACTATGCTTTAGTGCTCGACTGTGGAGCTCTGGATACACTGGCAGTGTAGTTACCACAGGATGTGGGCTGGGAGATACCGCGACGGAAGCGAAGCGACTATCTGAGCATTATCCGGTCACAGCTCGGCCAACCCACAGAAGAACAGTCGTGCCAGCCACTGCCACCCTGTAGTGCTGGCTCTAGTCGCTGTAGTGCTAGTCGGATAGTGTAGTGGTGTAGTGTCGGAAGGGTTATAGTGTTGGCCTGGGAAGTTGTGGGCAGGTGAAGTGTTTTTGGAGGACGCAGAAGCTGAGCCAGGAAGTGGACGAGCTGTTTCGCCTATTCGCTTTCTGTTGTCGGCCTACATGCTGGCAGAAGAAATGTGACGCCTGAAGAGGATATTTTGAAGGCAGCGTGACGGAGAGTTACATATTTTGGTGAAGATTCACCTGAGCTGAGCTGAACTCTGAGCTGCAGCTGTCCAAGCTGTGATACAAACTAGTCTGATTGATCCTCAGTTCCTTCTAGTCTTCTTTTTCATTTTTTTCTTCAATATTTGTCACGTTTTTGTGACCAACCACATCATATACCCTTTCATTGCGATTTCCTGTCGTTTCGTGACACTTTTCGCACCTGTCTGTAGCAATCCTACCATCCCACGTTCCTCTTTGATATTCCATCGTCCCCCTTCCGGAACCCTGGTATCACGATGCCGGGCGGTTCGGGTGCCGGCTGGTACGCCACCCTCCGGCGAAAGTCCCGCAGAGTGCGCGCCACCCTGCGCCCCTCCCCCAGCCAGGCCACCCTGCGGCCCGCCCCCAGCCAGGTCAGCCTCAGCTCAGCTGTGGGGCAGGCCATGTGGCAGTGGGGCGGCTGGGGTCAGGGTCGGGGTCAGACCGGGCCGCCGGCCGACCGGTCACAGGTCACAGGTCAAGGTCACAGGAGGTCAGTGGCCGTGGGCGGCCTGAGGCGGAGTCGATCCGAGATGGATTTCAGTCTGCTTCAGGTGGGTGGAGAGAGAGGAGTGAGAGGGGGAGATGGGAGTGAGTGAGAGGGGGATGTGGTGCAGGAAATATCAATAGGCCAGCCCGCCGCGGGTGGGCTGAAAAGGCCGGCCAGGAAATGCCGATGGTGAGTTCCGATGTCATTTTTGGGTGTATCAAAGATAAGCAATGTTTGTGTCTGAGATCAGTGATCGCCATTCTCCTTCAACACTGAGCAGCGGTCACCAGTTCCCCTTCTTCCGATGGTAGGAGTTTTTGCGGCGTTGCGGAGGTGTCTCCTGGTCATTCCGTCGGAGTTAACGGACGCCTTGGTCCGCTAGGATGGTCTGTGGTCATCTCGGTAGTTTGTGATCAGTCGACTTCTCCCATGCATTTTATCGACCATCGGGATACGAGGGGAGAGTGGTCGGTCTACACCCCGTTGATATTATCTTGCATCACATAATTCGCATTTTGATTGTATATGCTGTGTTTGCATCGTGTGCCTATACGCTAATCGATTTGTGACTTCAGCTCGACCTTGCCCTCGTCCCACTCGTAACGTCATCTCTCTGTTTGTTCCAGCAACTGAAGGATGAAATCAGCGAGGTGGCCATGGACATGGAGGCCGTCGAGACCGGCGAGGACGGGTGAGTACCGAGTACAGAGTACCGCAGAGTACCGAGTACCGAGTACAGAGTACCGACTACCGAGTACAGAGTACAGAGTACAAAGTACAGCGTACAGAGTACCGAGTACCGAGTACCGAGTACAGAGTACAGAGTACCACAGAGTACCGAGTGCCGAGTGCCGAGTACCGAGTACCGCAGAGTACCGAGTGCCTCAGAGTTTCAGTTCTGAGGACGAATTTGGGGACGACGGTGAAAACAGGGCGCCCTGGGCGATTTGATCAAGGTTCGTGAAATTCACACGTGACGTTGGGCATGTAGAAGGCCCACGGAAGGGGGAGAAGTTCCAAATGTCACGTGACTAATATGCCCTCCGGCGCCCTGTTTTCACCGGCGTCCGAATTAGGGCCTACATTTAAAAGCATTTCTTTGACTAAAGAACAAACTGTACACTGAATAAACTGTAAGAATAAACTGTTTATACAAGAACAAGAATAAACTGTAGTTGCAACAAGAATAAACTGTTTAAATAAGAATAATTTGTAGTTGAAAGAATAAAAGAAAAAAATAGGCACTGCATAACGATTCGTTGTTTTATTCATTGATTTGATTGAACCTTATCAGCTGTTGACCACTTATTCATTACGTTCGTTCATTCATTCATTCATTCATTCATTCATTCATTTATTTATTTATTCATTTATTCAAAATAGATTCATTCATTCATTCACAGTGTAACAGATGTTCCTCGCGTGTCAGAGGCTTGTGTGCACTGTCAAATGCCGACTGCTGAATGCTTAGTCCCGCGCCCATACCTTGTCCGTCCGTTTTCGGGGTGCTGTCTGGTGTTATTTTTCCTCGTCCGTTGCCCCCCTCCCCCTCCTCCCCCTCCCACACTGTGTTTGTCGGAGTCGCGACATGGGCACGGCCCGCCGTGATTTTAAAAGTACGGTGAGGAGAATTGATGACATCAAGAGATTGAGAATTGAACCGACATCAAGAGCCTAATTGCGGAAGTCGTATCATGCATGTTTTGGGAGTAACTGCAAACTGCATTGTGAATATCAATGTGTAGGTCGATACTGACTACTGAGCATTTTAGCATTCGTGTTTTTTCGGCTATCTGGGGAAAATTGATAAAATTTAAATGTATGTCGCTTGAAGACTGCATTCAGGACCTTATCTACTTTCAGGTCAAAGGGCTGTGCATATTTTTTAGCTTGCTCAAAAAATGGACTGTCGATAACTTCTAAACCTTACATAATCGTCTAATGTCGCTTATTTTTAGCGTCTCTCCATCGCACGTGAATTACGACTCTTTCCTGGAACCATTCACGGGAATCCCACTAACGTTGACCTGTCATCCGTCAAACCGCAGTAATTCCGCAGCAGTTAGCTAGATCTCCAATAAGGCGATTAGTCGCCAGTTGGAAAAAATGCGCGAATTCCCTAAAGGCTGATTGCAGCCGCCGATGCGGTCCGATCATGGCTGCCCGATGGCTTGTACGTACGACCTTCCCTGAGGCTGTCCAGCCATCAGATACCTCTGTTGCACCGTGCAGTGTGCAGGAGGCAGCCGTTGACCCCCCCCCCCCCCCTCCCCAGTACGGCCGTTGGCTTACGACCCCGCGGCGTGCCGTGCCGACGGTGTGGGAGTGGGAGTGGGAGTGGGGGGAGGGGACAGGGGCGGGCGGTGGGCGGCAGACACTAGTTGCACTCGGGAGACGGTGGAAGACGGACGGTGACGGCGACGGCGGCGGTGGAATTCCGTGGACACGAGGCGTGGACGGTGGACGCTGTTGAGTGGATGTGGAGTCTTACAGAGCAAGGTGAACGTAAATCTGCAGGATTTACTCTGAAAAGAAAGGCGATTGAAGCTCTGAGATATCCACGAATCCTGCAGTGACCGGTTTTGTTCAAAGTGATGGGCAACTGGCTCTGCGTCGCATCGGCGTAGGGCTTTTTAACAAGTCCTCGAATCGATAGAGTCAAGTCTCGGTCAGCCCAACCGATGTCTGTGTGACGACTAATATGACACGCGTGTCAAATGCTCAGCGCTCAGTGAGTGACATACCGGTGACGAGCGCTGACACCCGGTGATTTGTGGTGACTTCTGGTGAAGTTTGGTGACCTGGAGTGACGGCTGGTGACACCAAACGGCACATGCTGGATGCATGTTAGTTTGGCAAGCTTGTATTGAACTGCCGTATACCAAGTGAAGATCTCAAGCCCGTGACGAGTGGCATTACCCGCGGTGACATACATTGACCGTCTGAGGCGTGTGATGGCTCCGCGGTGACACTCCGACCCGTACCTGACCTCTGACCTGACCTGACCTGACCTGACCTGACCTGACCTGACCTGACCGGCGCCGGGTCAGGCAGGACCGGCTCCAATGCCCGCGCTAGAGACCAACAGGTGTGTTTGGTTAACCTCATTTACACACGCTGCTCTTATGCACACATCCGACGCACGCACATACGCACACGCCAACGCACACACGCACACACGCACAAGACTAACAGTACTGCCAATCCGGCGCTATCGTCTGGCTAATGGTGCTCGGTAATGCCATTAGAGGGATTTGCCGGACCGCTACGTGCGATAGTCTGAAAATTCCGCCGTGTCATTGGGGCAGGCGCAGGGATTTGATCGAACTAGTGGAAAAGCTCAGAGTTATTTGGTTTTTACGACTAGATCCTTTTTTTCTGTTTTTTCCTTCTGGCGTGTGTCTAAGCATAAAAATGTAGAAAGAAAATCAACTATTCCTTCTTTCGGCTGGCTCGGCCGGCAGTTGAACCCTCTTTACGACCTTGATTTAACTTTTCGCCCTCCTCGCCCGTTTTTTTTTTTTAACAAACGTACAAAAAAACGCCTGTTTTACCTACTGTTACGCTTAATTTGCATCTTACCTGCCTGGCGCTTGCCCCCCCCCCCCCCCCCCCCCCCTCCACGGGTGGAGAATTGTGCTGGACTGGGGGTGCTCGAGCTCTCCCAATTCCACGCCGGCTTGGCTTTGGAGCCGCGGCCGGGCGGCGCGGGTCAAGGCGGGTCAAGGTCACCGCTAGGTGGCGGCGGATTTGCTGCGCCCGAGCACCCCCAGCTGGTCACAATTCTCCACCTATGCCCCCCCCCCCCCCGCCCCCCGCCAAATACCTCCCCAGTTCGGGTAAACCTATGATGTTTCGCTGACCTGTCTCTGTTCCTCTTTCTTTACAGCAAAGCGGACCAGAAGAAGAAGCAGCTGTCCATCGGTCGGAAGAAGTTCAACATGGACCCCAAGAAGGGCATCGAGTACCTGAAGCAGCACGAGCTGCTGCAGGACACGGCCGAGGGTGAGAGCCGGGGGATGTGGTGTCACCGGGTCACGTGACGTCACGAGGTCACCGGATGATAGAGATGTCGTTGTTAGGTTGAGACGGGAAGGGTTGAGTGGTAAAGAGAGACGGAAAAAAAATAAAGGAAAACTGCCTTCTCTGAGATACCGAAAAGGGGAAGCGAATATGTGCAAAGTATTTCTTTTATTCTGCTGTGCGAACAATATGAACTACCTTTTCAAGTCATCTTCTGCCATTGTATATCTGGTTCCGCAGGCCAACAAGATAAGAGCAGAACTCTATTTACAAACGGCGGTAAACTGCGACGTTTGTCGGTTTTGGTTTTGGAACGTGTCTGAAAAAAGACAACCATCACACCACCCTTCGAAACTGGCACACAACACAAACTGACCGAATTAGTCGTGTTTGGAGTTGGATTTTTTTGGGGGGGGGAGAGTCCAGGTGAAGTGCGACTCTCACTCTCTTCTGCCGTCTGCCTCTCTGACGTCAGTTTCACCATATGACGTCACAGAGCAGCCGCGGGGCGCGGTCGTTGAGCATTAAACGCTCTGCTGTTACCAAGGAGATGACTGTGACGTCACTAGTACTACCGTGTGTCTGTGACGTCATTACGACGTAATAAGTCTGCCGGTGATTAGGACTGTGATTGGCAGCTGGGCTCGAGCGAGGTTGATTGAATAGCAGTGGGAATGTTTCCCCCAGGCCTTGTGATACAATCTGGCCTTGCAGTTTTCATTGGTGAAGAATCTTTGAAGTGAACGTACCATAAATGTGCGGTAGGTTAAAATTTTATATTTAAACGAGCATAGTCGCAGGCACATGGGATTCAAAATTTGAAAATTGCATGCCTTTTAAGATTCCTTACTTAATTTTTGGTCGCAGTTCTCTGCACACCAGGCGCCCACTAGCAGTGCAATATTGGCAGAAAAGCGTGACGAATCGGCGATCTTGAACAACCTCAACCGAGCCATCAGATTATGTCAGGGAAAGCGTGACAGACGTGTCATGTTTCCAAACCGCAGTCCTGCCAACACAGTGTTATCGTGGAAAGTTTCGACCTCTCTCTGAGAACGAACTCTTTGAGAGCCGGTTTGTAGTTGGGTTCAGGGATCCCCGCTGTTTGTAATTCGAAAGTGAATGTGGGGCGGGTGATGTAAAAAAGTTAAATATCTTACGGGAGTGTTGCGTCAGCCAAACTCTTACTTTTTCACTTGCAATGTCAATTTCACTGGCTGAATTCCGATCAGGCTTTATGCCGTTTCACATGTGTCTTATACCGCTGCAAGCTTGATGGCGTTTGGGTTTATGAACTCTAGAATCTTACGCTCACGAGTAACTTTCGCCCGGGGCACTGATCCTGCAACCTTAACATTTGTTTCGGCTTTATTATATAATCGTGTTGCAAGACTTCGTGCATGAATTGACTTTTTGTAATGTAATCGAGTTATGTAGCTATAATATCGAGCCTTGGATATGAAAAAAATCAATTCGCGTAAATTGTAGCACAAAACTGATGGTGGATTCGAACAGCTACTGGCAAAATAACGTAAACCAGAAATTTATGTAGTTCGTGAGGATAATTCAGCTGTTAATACCTTCCAATCGCTCGTTAAGCATTAGGAACAGTTCTTCTCGCCCGAGTGCCTGTGCAGTGTGTTCTGCTATGTGAGCGCATTTTACCAGCCAGTGTGGTTGCGTTCCTAACCGTGGAAAAGAATGTCAGGAATTCAAACCATCTGCAATCTCCGGCGGCCGTGGACTTTAACGTCACGTTCCGTTCGTCACGGATAATCATGTAACGCCGGTGTGATGAATGCGTCACGGTTTTTCATGTTCAGTTGGTCACGGTTCGTTTTTGCAGGGTTGGAGGTTTGTCACGGTCGTTTTGAGTTGTGGGGTATTTGGCATGCATCTATTATGCGTTCAGTAGGAAGGATTGCAGTGCATTTTAGACCACTTGTTTCGAAGGCGTTCATAATCGAATGCGAAATGTAAATGACACTATTGAGTCGACCAAACCTTTTGCCAACTCACCATCGCTTCAAATCGAGCCGTTCCGTGTCGAAGTATGTCTAACCTCGGCGTTATCGCCCTCACTTCGGTAGGACTGAGGATACACCTTTACCCATGGGAAGTCTACCGTTACTTTCAGTTGTGCCCAATAAAGCCATGTGATTTACCAGTCTACATTTTATCACCACTTGGCCGACTGCTGCGGGCTGATGGCTCCTCAGAACCTGCTCCTGGCCGTATAACCAACACATCATTGAGTGAACTTTGTCGTTCTCTGGGTCTCATTTAGACGGTAGTTTTGTTTTACAGCTTCGGGTTTTGACTTGGAATCGTTAGATCACAGAAGAAGGAGCGTGTACTTAGTTCATCATTCTCTCGGCATTTGGCGTGTCAATGCAGCAAAGGCTATTCGAACCCTGACACTAGAATCTACCAAAATGAGCCATGACATTGACGCGATCTCCATAGCAATATTGCAAATAATCTATTCAGACCATAGCACATTCCTTTCGGTTCACTTTATCACAAAGTCTGCGCCCCCATATTCTTATACACCACATCTCACAGCTCTGTTAGAGGCACGTCAGTAGCGACCTTTCAGGTATGGCACGAGTGTCGACCTTTGAATATCGAGACATACGACGGACTATTTCACAGCATCTCCCTGCCATTCCACCGGTATGCCGCGCTGCCGTGACTGGTATCTGCGATAAACCAAACCCAGTACCGATGTCAAATCCAACCGGTTTCTCCCCAAACGAGGGGTTTTGGGCGACGGGTCGGCGGTGGTGGTCGCATGGGCTGGACAAAACCGGCCGCGCGCGAGCGGCCTGTCAGACATGTTGGGGGGAGGGGGTTTGAGAGTTTGGGGAGGGGTTATGGTGGATGTAGACTTTCGGATTGTTGTGGATCGGGGGTTTTACGACGTTGGGCAATGTTCGGTGGTCTTGCGTCATTGGCGGGATAAGGAAACTTTACTGGATTAAATTGAGTAGAGAAAGACGAAATCGGCTTGTTTTGGCTTGAAGCGGGATTTTTCTTCTAAGAAATGAAGAGCATTTTTGCATTATGTTTCTCCATTCTTTGTCCCGTTATTGATATCGTAGTTAAAAGATCTCATAATCATAGCAGCATATCGGCATTAATGCTAAATTTTAACCATAGCTGCATTGTTTACGATCTTTGCGATGCGTACCGTTTCGCATTGTAACCGACCTCGCTTGGAAATGTGCGATTGCTGTCACTTTTGATTAACGAAAAACAATCTAACTTCCATGTTCTCTCCGTCCACAGACATAGCCGAGTTCCTGCACAAGGGCGAGGGACTGAACAAGCGGGCCATCGGCGACTACCTGGGCGAGCGAGCCGACTTCAACCAGGCCGTGCTGGCCGCCTTCGTCAACCTGCACGACTTCAGCGACCTGATCCTGGTCCAGGCCCTGCGGCAGTTCCTCTGGAGCTTCCGACTGCCGGGGGAGAGCCAGAAGATAGACAGGATGATGGAGTGTTTCGCCAAGAGATACTGCGAGCTCAACCCGGATATATTCACCAGTGCTGGTGAGTTGTGTGGGAAGGGAGGGAAGAGATAAGAGAAAATAGAAATGGAAGGGTGTGAAAGGCGAGGGAGAGGAGATAAATAGGTGTCTGGTTGTTACGCGTATGGCTGATGAGATGATTGTATGTTATATCGTGAATTATCTTACTAATGTTGGCATATTTTTAATAGGAATAATGTTGTTATTTTTCGCACATCTTGACGAACGTTGTCAGCGGTCGTTCTTGTAATGCATTTACAGGCTGCTGCTAGAACATGCTAATTTCGTGCAATGGCCGTGTCTGATAGTCCCATTCGCCCGTCCTGCCACACCCAAAACAAAGCGACAAGACGTTATTAAAGCCCCGCTACCATTTCTGACCGTCCGTCCCTCCCGCAGACACCTGCTACACGCTCAGTTTCGCCATCATCATGCTGAACACGTCTCTGCACAACCCCAGCGTCAAGGATAAGTTTACCGTGGACCAGTTCATCAATATGGTGCGCGGCATCGACCAGGGAGGTCAGTACCGGGGCGTGTGACGTCACTGGGTGCTAAATTACGTCGCTGGGTAAACGGTGGGGGTGCCGAGACGCTAGCGGCATATATAAGATGATGTAAGATGATTCAGGCTAAATATAAATGATGTTTCGGATTGTTATGGCTTTCTGATGTGTTAGCCGTTGTTGAGAACACGGCTTTTTGTTTTCTCGGCATTTCGATAATGTTCCGTCAGGTTTACCACCAGTCATTCATGTGAGAGAAAAAATGCCTCAATGATCTTTTATTGATGATTTCGGGAGCTGCTCGTCAGCCTGTTCGCTAACACTGTCTCCCCGTTGCCTAGGTAACCTGCCTCGGGAGCTGACTGTTGACTCTTTCCCCCCGTTGCCTAGGTAACCTGCCTCGGGAGCTGCTGGCCAGTCTGTTAATTCACACTGTCCCCCCGTTGCCTAGGTAACCTGCCGCGGGAGCTGTTGGTTAGCCTTTACGACAGCATCAAGTCTGAGCCGTTTATGATTCCGGAGGATGACGGCAACGATCTGATGCACACCTTCTTCAACCCGGACAAGGAGGGGTGGCTCTCCAAACAGGGTCAGTGACGTCATACAGGCCTGTGTAACGTCACACAGCGCTGTTTGGCTGATATGACTGATAGGCTTGGTTTAGGAATATTATTTGTGGAGCAAATCACCGACGAGGTTCCCGTCACCGTGTCAAGTGGTTAAAGTCTCTATGATGGTAAAACTTGCCCGTCGTATTACAGAAATGTGCGCATCAAACATTTTGTTAAATGCTTCAGGAGCCTAAACTTTCGTTCAAGCACTTCATTCTTTATTGACTTTACATAAATACTTAGCTCATTTTTAAATCTGGATTTGCTGATTATTCTTTATCGTGATAATCGTTGAGCATCTCATGCCGTAGATATCGCCTACGGCGCAGCGTCTGACCCTCTCCCCTCTCTTCCTCAGGAGGCCGTGTGAAGTCGTGGAAGCGGCGGTGGTTCATCCTCAACGACAACTGCCTCTACTACTTCGAGTACACCACGGACAAGGAGCCACGGGGCATCATACCGCTCGAGAACATTCAGGTACGTATAGGCTAGGAGGGTGGGTGGGCGCTTAGTCCAAGTCTTAGACGCGTCTAGCTGGACGGCGGCTGCGTCCACCTGGCGACAGTCAGCCTTAGATGCGTCTAGCTTGGAGGTCCCCGTCCAACAGTTAGACGCCAGTTGGACGCCAGTGGAAGTCTCCACCCATACTATAGTTGGCTAGGCAGAGAGTTAGGCATGGCGCTGTAGTGGACAGAGAAGTAGGATAGAAAGTAAAGGTGGTCAATGGGAGGCGTTTTTGATTACCTATGGTGTTTGTGGTGGTGAATGAATTAGTCTGACGGGATAGATGTCGGGTGACTGACACGTCTAAACGTGGCCTTTTCTCGCCCCTTGTTAATTAATGCCTCAGAAGTCTAGAATAATAAGTTAGAAAGTCTAGAATGAAAGTCCAGTGAGCTACAAGACAGGTCAAGAGTAGGTGCTGCCCCTCCCCTGATCTGATCTGTCTGCTATGACCCTTTATCTGACCTCATCTGACCCCTGTTCCCTGCAGGTTCGCGTGGTGGATGACCGCAGCAAGCCCAACTGTTTCGAACTGTACGCCTCTGGCACCGACTACATCAAGGCCTGCAAGACGGACAACGACGGAAAGGTGGTGGAGGGGAAACACACGGCCTACAGAATGTCGGCGGCCACCCAGGAGGAGATGAACGAGTGGATCAAGACGATACAGTGAGTGGAGATAGCGGGGGGGGGGATGGAGAGAGGAGGGTCTGAGGGACTGGGGAGGTGGAATGAGGGGTGGGAGGTTGGTCTCGTTTTCGAAGGGCTCCACAAGGCTTCGAAACGAAGCCTTGTGGAGTGGAAAGTGATTTTCATTAGAAGCATGTGATGGTTTTATTTTACGGGAGATTGATATAAGATGGATGACTGTTAGTTATGTGTTTTTGGTAAAATGCATTAGCGATTTTACTTTGTGAGGTTTGTAATAGAATTGCAGCAAGCGTGTCACGTTGAGTTGTCAAGTCCTTCACATCAGACTGGTATTTGTTGTAATGATTATTTTTATATGTAACCGGCACCCTATCTCATCTAACTCCGTAATTTCTTTCCGTTCACAGGCAGAGCATCAGCCTCAACCCCTTCTACGATATGTTGGCGGCACGAAAACGAAAAGCACAAAAGCCCCCACCGCGGTAACACGGGCCGCGCTAGTGGCGCTGTCTGTGGCGGACTTGTGAAATAATGTTGTATAGGTGGCGCTGCACACACTGTAAATGAAATCCAATGCGAGTGCTACTAAAGTGGAATATTTGCCGGCGCGACATGAAAGAAGAGAGTTGTTCAGCGCGATATCTCCTGATTTCGGAGGTGCAATGTTATGTGCTATTTCTACGGCGCCTCGCTGACCTGTCGTTGCAATGGTAACGCGCCACGAAGCCCAATGGACCTCTGTCGCGCTGCGCGGCACGTGTGCTATACGTGCGCCTCGGCCCCGTTTTAGGGCCTCATTCCGTTGTGAGTCTGGGAGTCTGTCCATGCGAGTATGAGCGAGTGACACAGTACAAAGGAATACAGACGTGTGCCGGTGGTTTGGTCGATTGGGAGTGCTGGAGTCTATGGGCTGAGCTGGGACCGACTTGTACGCGAATGTGAATATACATACACAATACACTGGCTTCACCGGCAGGTAGTGTGTTTGGATTGGAGAGAGCGTTTGTGATGGGGATAGAGAGGATGTGGGAAGAGTGGGAGGGGAGAGGATGAACGCGGAAAGCGGTGGAAAGGAAGCCTGTGGACGGATTTTGTGGAATAGGGTGGAACGACGGGGTACACGGGTGGATTGTGTGGATGGAGGTGGACTGGTGTGGACTGTGGACGCGGGTGAGAGATCTAAAAGGGAGATGAAATGTGGACTGGCGAACGGATGGTACCCACTCACCAGTATGACGGCCTAATTTTACGTAGTGGACGAATAGAAAGACGACAACGAAGTGAAAACACGAAATTAATTTTTTAACGAAGTGTTTCCACGTTTCCAGTGCACTTCCATGGAAAATAATCCTTGTCGGGATGTCAGGATAAACAACACTTGTCAGGATAAACAAAAAGTTTCAGATTTACTCCGGCTATCACTGATTTGTTTTGTCTAAAACGGGCCTCGAAGTGAGCAGCTCGCGCACCATCGGATCTCATTTCGAGGTCGCTCCGCGCCCTGCGGGCAGACGAGTCGCCGGCCGGCAGTGACCGGAGCGCAGTGCGCATGCGCAGACAGGCGGCAGGATCAGCTGAGGTCAAGGTTAGAGCACGAACGTGTTGCTTGCTATCGTATATGGTTAGTGTTATCGCGATAGTGATGATAGTGTAAAATGTTTAGCGAAGGTTGTTATGTGAGGGGCTGTTTTAATTTGGGTCAGTCAGTGTTGATGAGGTCTCAAGATTTGCACTGGACGTTGCTGAGACACGAGTATCGACCGCCCGGAAGAGCAACAGCCTGCGAGAGTTGCTGATTCGCCGAAGGTGAGTGCTATTGTCTGGGGACTGTGACCTCACACTGGTCACACTGGTCTCACACTGGTCTGTTACCAGCAAGGTGAAAATGCATCGGCCGGGAATCGAACCCGGGCCGCCCGCGTGGCAGGCGAGCATTCTACCACTGAACCACCGATGCCTGGCAATTTTGAGCCAAATTGACCAATCTGTCTGGGGGGGGGGGGGCAATTGGTCTCGTTTGTGTTGCAAGACTAGAATATGTATATGTTATATACGCGGATATACGCAGGCACGTATCCAGGATTTCGCTCAGGGGGGGGCGACAGCCGAGAAGGGCCCGGAGGTCAGCCAAAAGGGGCCCCACAGCGACTGCCTATCCTGGCGTGTAAAAATTCGAGAATGTCGAAAAAACAGCAAATTTACGATAGAATTTGGCATTGTAAATGAAAATGCACTGTCTTGCGTTTCTCGACCTTGATAACATGTTTGCAGTTAGCTTCCGTTGAAGTTCGTTTTTGCAGTTCACTTCCGTTGAAGTTCGTTAACCCGCGCCCGGCCGGGGGGGGGGCTGTTTGAACACCTCCTCCTTGCGGTTTTGCGTGGATATAAAAAAGAGGGATGAATCTTATCTACAGATATGAAAATTTTACACCCAGGTCGCTCAAGGTCAGGTCACCAGACCACGTCAAGTGCCTCACCTCAGAAAAGGTTAGAATGCTCTCCATAGCAACACCGACTGAACGATCGGCTTGAAACTTTTAGCGATTGATAAGAGTAACAGTATGTATAAAATGATTATCTCGAAATTTGCATACCGGTGGTGACATAAGGTCAAGTCAATTTTTTGCGCCCTCTCCATTAGGTTTTATAAATGGGAGAAAATCGAAAGGTGCCTCTTTTAGGCAAACGTCATCCTAGGCACCCTCAATCACCTGGTTACATAAAAAAATGACAACCTAAATCGGAAATTTGTACCCGTGACCCCTCCTTATGTCTATGGGGTCATCTCAGGTCACGAATCGTCTCCACAGCTTTTGACAATAGCATTTGTTAGAGACACGCTAGAGCGTTGAAAACACCTTAGATGTGTTCAGGCCTTATCGACGATACGGTTTGACGGATGTGCAACATGACCTTTCAGGTCAGGTCACCTTGAATTTAGTTCAAATTTTCTAAATGACCTGATCAGGTCAAATTATATGTAGTTCATTCGACGCGTCTCGACGAGAGTAGGTAACACGATGCTGACAAAAGAAATGTCGTGCCTTTTCCTGAGTCGAAAATTGTTAAAGAAAAAAAGTGTTTCATAAAAACGACTATTTTAAAAGTTTTTTTCTCTCAAGAGGCTAAACCGTTAACCCGAGCACCAACGGGGGGGGGGCTGTTATCCGCCCCCCCCCCCCTTGAGGTTATGCGGGAAAACCGCGGCGCGTAGCGCCGCGAAATTTGGCATGACTATTTTCTCATTAATTTTACACATGGTGTGCAAGTTTGAACCTCCTAACTTTTAAGGTCAGATCACCAGGTTACTTCGAATGACCCAACCTCAAATCACTTTTTTTGCAACTTTGTCACGTCGTGTCAGAGCTACAGTAGATAACGGAGTATGATTCGATGCGGATTGACGAGAGGATCACGATGGTGCCCTTAGTTTGTTCCTAGCTTGGCTAATTCGAAAGTTATTCGAGAAAAACTCTTCATATCTAGCGCCGCCATTTTGACTTTTTTTACCCCTGTGACGTCATCTTTGACCTGATCTGGAAATGACCTAATTAAAAATTGTAGACCTTGTCCGTGCGTACCCCATGCCGTTTACCGCTTGTCGCTATCTTGCTTCGTTCTTGAGATCTCAGGGGGCGGGCGGTCATTCGCCCCCCCCCCCCTCGGTTCTAAGTTGGCGCGGACCCCCGTCGGTGCGCGGGTTAATCGCAGGTCAATTCTGAGAACAGTTTACGGAAAGAACGTTAAAAGAACTATTGAATGCGTTTTTTTGTGGCGCTGCAGCTCTGTTTGTACCCGGGTTATGCGCCGGAGTTGTCAAACAATGTTGAAATAGGCAAAATGTGACCTTTGCTGACTTATGGTGACCTGACCTTTGACCTGACCTAGAAAATGACCGAGTTACTTTCGGCATGATTTTTTACGCTCTTCCGAATGCCACGTACGCTAACGTGTCGCTACGTGGCCCAGGAGCCGAGTTAGAGAGAGAGGGTGTTCAAACGCCTCCCCCACCGCCTGTCCCAAACGCCATCCGTGGCGCAACTATGGAGCTCATTTTGTTCGGAGAATTGTAAACAGGAGCAGCCCCATGAGGTCAGTCGAAAGGGTCCCATCATCGGCTGTTGCCTGTTCCTCGGGCCCCATGGCCTGGGCAGGGCCTTCTCAGCGGGCCCTTCCGTTTCTGGGGCCCGGCCAGGACAAGCTGTTTCTGAGACTGGGCACGGAAGTGTATATCTGGGCTCGCTTTCTTGATACGTTGTCGAGGCCGAGGGACCAATACTTAAGCTCAAAAGCCTGCTTCAAGGCTTTCTGGGCGGGCCCTTCCGCTTTTGTAGACCTCCCGGGCCCCCGGTTGTCATTGGCTTGGCCCGGTCCGCTTGTGGGGCCCGGCTAGGGACCCATATGAGCACCGGCAAGACCCTATGGGCCCTTTTTGGACCCGAAAGCCTGGGCAAGATCTTCTCAGCGGGCCCTTCCACATCTAGGGCACAGACAGGCCCTGTGACTGGGCACGGAAGAGGATTTTTTCGGATCCGCTAACCATAACTTCTCCGGGGCCAATTAGCTTAAAAGCGATACCTTTGGGCCCGATAAGGGACCCGTTTGGAGTCCGGCAGGGCCATAGGGGCCCTTCCTCAAGCTCGAAGGCTCGAGCATATCCTTCTGAACGGGTCTTTCCGCTTTTGGGGCCCTGCCGGGCTCCAAATTGCCCTCGCTCTGCCCAAAAGTGGGCCGAAGGGCCCAGTTACGGACCTGTTTGTGGCCCGGCAGGGCCCCAGGGGCCCATCCGCGAACCAAAAAATTCGAACAAATCCTTCTGAACATGCCCTTCCGCTTTTTGGCCCAGCCGACCCCAAATTGTTCCTGACTAGGCCCTTTCTTGCTGCCTAGCGGGCCCTGCCGGGCCCGCTTTTGGGGCCCGGCAGGGCCCAGGGGGGGGGCGACCGCCCCCGTCGCCCCCCCTTGGATACGTCCCTGGATATACGGGTATATGTTTAGTGTCCTTTCCGGTCAACAGTTATGCATTTGTGTTAACGACTACCTAAACTTTTACTTCAACCCTTTTCAACAACTTCTGATGCCGGTGAGCATTTGATTGACACTTCACACAAGGCGGCACCAGCGGCCCTTTCACCCACTCCTTTCATCCCAGATCCCTCCACCCCCCCCCCCCCCTCCGGAAAACGGGATTTGTCTGTGTCCACACGTATCGTTGTGGCGTGCAAATAAATAGGTATTCTTCACTGCAAGACATTCGAAATCGAGAACTGTGGCAAACGCTCAAAACGCCCATCGGACAATTCATTTACCGCGGTCGGTCGGTCCCGTCTTTTTTGTCGGTCCATACCATAAAAAGTACTAAAATTTAATTGCGTCGCTCATGCATGTACGCTTTCGGCTTTAACTGACGGAACTGGCGATTGCAGTCCAGCTCTGAAGCGCGTCTCCTCACCAGTCGCTAACCACCCCGACCATTGCACCGCGAACACTAAACCGGTTCACCTTGTAGAATACGACTCTGCCCGCGATATATCAGACGAGTTATGAGCAGCTAATGGATGAAAGCTCGAAACGGCCAACACGGCCGCTCTTTAAACAACAAAACAACATTCCTGGCTATTTAAATCGCCCAGTTTTAAAACGTAGTCCTTGAACATACGGTAACTGACATTACAACACCAAATACGATGACAGAACGTCCCTCAGTGTCATGTCTGTCTATTTTTGGCCTCGGCAAGACTCGGTACGTTCATTGTACAAGTAAGTGTCAAGAAAACCAAGCATATGACGTGTGTTATGAGCATCTGTTGAATTAGATCAACCGAAAGGCCTACATGACAGACAAGTATACGGCCTACATAGATAGGTAGGTAGGTTGTATGTATGTAATTACATAATAATCAATAATCATCCAAGTCTCTTCCTTTTCGAACCGGCTGTATGATTTTCTAAAGTCAAGCGTAAACCAAAGGCTCCGAAGATCGTCTAAAGTCAAACCGTTTTAGTAGGCGTTTACCGTGTACATTTTACGTTGGACTTTTTGCGTTTAGGCCTACTTTTACACGTCATTGGCAATGGCTACTACGTAGTAGCTATTGGCGCCACAAACGTAGTACTACGTTTGTGAGTGTCCAATGTCCGCCATGATCATCTGCCTTTCAGTTTCGGAATTACGTATGATCAGTTCAACTTGCTTGGCAGGTCATCCAAAGTTTGCTATCTATTTATTAGGTATTCGGAATCGGTTCACCCGACAACCACACGAAAAGAAAAACTGGAAACCCAGCCTTTTACAACGGAAGGTAGTAAATTGGTTGTGCCTCTATGAATAACGAGACTGACTTTTATAAGGAGTATAAAATTGCAATATTTCCCCAATTTCCTTCTCAATGATCGGGCCGGTAATCATCCTAATTTAAATCATGTATTCAACCGGCTTGCTCTGACCGGCTGTGACATCATCCGCGTATGACGTGACATGGTGACGTCACCCGGCCGGGCTCTGCGGGCCCGCTGCCGCTGGGCCAGGCCGCTCAGTCACCCACGAACCACAGAGGGGGAGTGTGCTGCTCCGCTCCGTCCGACAGTGAACTCCGGGACGTAGTAGCCAGTCCTGAGGTGAACCAGTGGTGTACCTACAGCTGGTGTCCAGTTGGTGCTGTGGGGACTGGTGTGGAACTGAGTGGTGTCATTGGTGAAGCGAGGTCACCGTTTGACCCAGGGCCGGTTTGTGAGGTCATAGACAGGTGTGCAGTAACCGGACTCTCGAGGTGTCAACATTGTCCAAAATCTGTGACGGGTCGGAGAGAGAGACCTGCCGTCATCCTGAGCGGACTCGACTGGAAACGCCAGGTGTCCGTTCGGAATCCGGTGTATCCTGGCACGTAACACGTCGGTTTCCTGTGCTCCATGGTCGCGTCATATTTCTGACCTGTTGACGTAGCCCGTGAGGTCATATCCCAGGGTAGCGAAACATTCCAGTCTCCATACCTGTTGATTGGTATCTCCCACCGCTCTCTTCCTGCTCCCCTGCGCTCTCTCCCTGCTCCTCCCCCACGCTCTCTCCCTGCTCCCACCCTCTCTCCCCGTCAGGCGATGCCCCGCGCCTCCCTGCTCTCTCCCGCCTCTCCCTCCTCCGAGTGCTCTCTCCGCTCTGTCACTCCGCGCCCCATGGACTCGGACTGTGACGAGCTGACCCCGGTGTGGCCGGGCCAGGCGCTGCTCCCGCGCTCTGCCCAGCCGCTCTCCGACTCTCTCCCGCTGCGGCTCACACAGAAGAAGGCCTCCTCTGCCACCGAGCAGGCGCTGCAGCCGGTCACTTTCGGCGGCAGCGGTATTCGCCACGTGCCGTTCTCGGGTCTGTCGCTATCGTCGGGGAGTAATGGAGCCACCTATCAGCACACGGTCGGCGGCTACGACAGCGCCGGAGGAGTGCCCATCATCAGGTGAGGAAGAGCGGGAGAGGGGGAGGGGGAGGGAGAGCGGGAGAGGTAGGGGGAGAATTGAGTGTGGGAAAATCTTGTGCCCTCAGCGAACCAATTGGTCGGTCAATTCCGGCAATCCATTGGCTTAATGGTAAACCTCCATAGTTTTTGTTGTAAAAACAGAAGCCAGAAAAAAAACATTGCTTTGACTGTTCCTACCTATCCGAATAACCAACCCCTGGAAAGTATTGATTTGTGTTGTTCTAGCCACTCCTCTCGTCTCCTACCTTGTGTCTATCCTAAATCATGCCATAATGCATTGGATGATTGTGCTGACCGTTGCTGTCCCCCTGACCGATCCCTTGCCCCTGACCGGTCGGTATAGACGGGTCAGCGGTCAGTGGACGGTCGTACCGGTCAGTGACAGGCACACCTGGGGGTGGAGTGGGGAGGGGGTGGGTCCTGGTGGGTGACGGCCGCTGTTGTGCAGCCGACTGTGGGTTACGGTGGGCCGGTGGACCGGTCGGCTTTCCACTGTGGTTCTGTGGGAGAATTGTTTGTGTGGATAACACCGTGACGTCAGGTGGAGTCGGTGGTGGATGATGGGTGACGTACGGTGGATTGTTTTGAATGTCTCTGTGGACTGTGGACGACTGTGGTGGACGGTGGTGGAATCGGAGGTGGTTTTGGTGGATGGTGGAAATGGTTGGTGGTTGGCGGTGGATGGTGGTGGTATATATGCGTGTGTGTACGTAGGTACCTATTTGCCCGACGCTTGAGTGTGTTGTTTGATGCTGGTAAATACCTATACTTCTTACCTTTTTGCGAGTGCCTGCAGTGTCCTGTGTTTGTAATTGTGGTTTTGTACAGCAATGCACACACAAGTAACGCCTGAGAGTCTCTGTCCCGTAGGTACCTATGTCCCAAAGAAATCCATAACAATTTGCTCACAAAATTGTTGTCAGCAAAAATGATTCACGCAGAATCACATTCTTTCAAAGATTTTGTTTCACCGATTTCATCACTGGGCCACATCATTGTCACCTCTGACCAAATCGGCAACATCTTGGCACGGTTTTTCCTCTCCCCTTCGTGATGGTATCTATGGCATTTCCCGGAGCCGCGCCAAATATGTCACCCTTTGCGGCATATCTGACGCGGCCGGTGAGTCGGACCGTCGGCCGTTCAGGAAATGACCTCGGTCGGTTTCCTTGAACGGTTGTTTGTCGGGTGACCTCTATTGGCGGTTGGCAGACCGTCACGGTACAGGAATCTAACGACGGCCCGTCACACCCCGTGAGCGAAACAGATATGGATCGGTTTTTGTAGTAATTGCTTAAAAAAAAACCTGGTAGTGTAGCCTAAGGAATGGCCGGGTAATCAAGTTCAGTTTGTGTTGGTGTTGTTTTCCTTTATACAGGGTGATCGAAAAAAGTGTCACCCCTAACATAAAATCTACATAACTCGCGACTGGTAGGTCGGATGACTTCGCGCCAGGCAGCATCGGAAAGAGCAGGCAATTTCTTTTCAATTGAATGTATTCATGATTGTTTTCTATTCCAAATCATGTTCCCATGGGCTGAAAAACCAGTCAATGTGCGGCTTTCACGTGAAACGAAATTCACCGAACGGGATCGGACACCGCTGAACGAGAACAATGAGTATCGTAACTCAACATGACACACACCTTACACATTACACATTGAGTGTATGTTGTTCACTGCAGACTGTTTCTTAGCTGACTTTAGACTCGTTTCTCAGCTGACCTTAGACAAGGAAGACCTTATCAGATCTTCCTTGCAAACATGCGGCCTCATTATTCACAAATTCGCCGGTACTAGCGAAACATTGCGACAGCCTGCACTACCGGATTATCAATTTTATGCAGCGGTAACCATGGAACAGTTAAGAAAAATGCTCACGTGAGCTGTCACGTGAGCTGTCAGATCAAAAACTCTGTCAAAAGTACAAATTTGCACAACCAAACTTTTGAACACGCCAAATTGTGTCCTTAACATACTTTTTGAATAGCTACATCTTCGTTTGCAGCATAAACCATGCATATTTACATCCATTCGAAAGGAAATTGTATGCTCTTTCCAATGCTGCCTGGCGCAAAGTCGTACGACCAACCAATCGCGAGTTATATGGCTTTTAAATTAGGGGTGACACTTTTTTTCGATCACCCTGTAGAAGGGTCGACATCGTGTTTGTCTAAAACTGAGAGGAAAAAATCGTTTCAACTATTTTCAAAATTTACACATGTTTTACGTATGGATGGTGCGGTACAATTTTTTTTTATTAACTTCAAAATGAAATTACGTCGCAGACTGATGGTCTGATGCAGAGCGCAAAACATCCTTCTCAATTTAAAACATCATTCCGCTAGAAACCAACACGCATTGGCGACAGAATCTATCACCCGTCACCCGCTATATCTAACCCCCACTTCTTGGCATCCCAGTACGATTTTAAAGCCAACTTCTGTGGAGCGCTGTGATCGATCAGTTTCAAATGCATTTATGTAAATTATTTTCTGGGAAACGTGACTTTGCCTTCGTTTAACGGATGCTGGGAGCAAGTCATCCGTAGGCTGCAGCCTGAACCCGCCTGAACTCATGAGTTCAGGCTGCCGTGAAATAACACGTAACTAAAACAGAGGTAGCCCATCATATGCAGCGTCATGAGCTTAATATTACGTGGGTTATACGTCAACATCAGATTGTCAACGTCAAAAAGAAACAGGTAAGTTCAGTAATCAGTATCCCAGTATGCTAGGCAGGCGCACATCACATAAGTGTTGTTGGAAGTTTATCAAATTGTGCGCCAGTTCTTCAGCACACCGTATCAGTTGTGATGCTGATGTGGTGTGACATGTTAATTGTTAGGTCATCCTGATGTGTCGGTAGTGGCAGATTACGGATACCAGGTGTGGCAGCCCACGTTATTGGTCGTGACAGGTCAGCTCATTAATGCGCATTAATTAGACTCGGGATTACTGCGTGTAGCCGGTCTGTGAAATGAGACGACCGGTTATCCTAACGAGAGATGGTCATATGTTGTGTAACTACAAGGACCGGCCACTTATCTAACGGTGAAGCAGCCTCAATTCATGTACGTCTTATGCATTACCTCACAATTCGTTGAGCTTAGATTGTGTGCCGAGAAACTTGAATTGTCAAACTCGGATGATTGTAAAAACTGACATATACGCATCCAACTCCTTAGACTATTTTCATGGTTTCGGGCGTACTTGCCTGAATAATTGTTTTGGATCTTGTACTAAACGCTCTATGATCACTCCGAAGCGTCCTTTTTAATGAATGTTTTTGCTCAAAACACGAATAAATAACCTTTGAACATTTTCTTCCATTAGCTGCACAAGTGCACGATAATCATGACATTTTATCACTTCGATCGCTCTTACAGCGAAACTCTCTCGGCGGAGAAAATTGCACGGTCAGTCTGACATATGAACGTTCTAATTTCCGTGTACCAACAATCTCCACGCAGCCGAGTTTGAATCAGTGTTCCGCCTAGTTTCATGCGTTTCGCACGTGCAGTGACGTTTCGCCGTACTGTCCACGTCAGACACTCCGTGCCCGTGGTGGTTGGATAAGAACACACGCGATAAGCCACGACGGCATATTTGGAGATTGCAAATCATTCTCGGCGCGTACAAGTCAACGGAACTATCTGGGCCAAGGTTCAGACCTTTACCGAGATGTTTTCTGACTCCGCGTATAGGATTAGTTGTTCTTCCGCTACCGAATGCATACGTGTGACGTCACTGTTGGATTATGACGTCAGTTGTGTTGGCTAGGTCTCGTAGTCAAGGTTAAGGTCACTGATAAAGTGTGTTCACCTGGGGAAGTTCAAGTTTTAAGTTTGTTTTGTCGTCTAGTTGGTTGAATGTCGCCGAGTTCTGAAAGACGAATCGATTTCTTGAAGGTCAGTCTCGTGTATCGGTTTGTTTTCCGGTCATGGTCTCCTAGGTAGACTGGACAACTGTTTTAAGTCATGGTCACTATGTCAAGGCTGCGAGACTGTGGACAGTTTTTGCGTGTTGTGTCATGTGTGCATGGACACAACGGACCGTAAAACCGGCGCGTTCTTAGCCCAAGTCATCCAAAAACGATCGTGCTGGTGTCTTGGCAGCTACTATTTAGTACGCTGGTAGATCTCCACATATGATCTTGGGCAGATCTACGAGTATTTCATCCTCATTGATGTCCAAAGCATGCAACACATGATTTAGGGGTGACTGGTGGTCCGGTTTTGGCGGCCTATCTAAAGCCATGCTCTCCTCTTCTGCTCATAAGCCGACTTGGCAATATTATCAACGATAAACAAACCGTTTGACATGGTTTCACTAACACTGGTTCTCGGCGTTGTATAACTGTTAACTTGGCACTGCGACATATGAACACACAGCGGGGCATTATGAAACATTATTTACGTTCAGTAGTTAATCGGGTCGGACTTTGATGCCGTTTCAGTTCGTCGTTTCGATAACAGATAATGGCTGATCATGGGAAGCGAGCTTCTGCGCGAGGTGAAATGATTGTGTAGGAAATCGCACATTGTTCAGACTAAACCTAATTGATGATCTCACAGACATGGGGTTGTGGTTGTATAATCTAATGTATATGTGCTCAGAAGTGGTGCATCATGCATAAACACTCTGGGGCATAATTCTTAATTATTTGAATGATACAATCCAGTGCTCTCTTCAGTCATCGCAGAGACAAGCATTTCCCTGAATTCCCCTCGAGAGGAGGCTGTCTCTGAAGTCGTGACACCGCCTCCCTCATGTATGTTTTACTGCGGCCGCTGCACGGTCTGGTCCTCTCGTGTCCTGCACCACCACTCCCCCCTCCCCTACATGCCCTCTCCCGCGTCCGTCCGGCTGGATCAGCATGGAACTTTCCACTGTCGCCCTGCTGCAGGGCTATCTGTCTGGAAACCTGCTGGACCTGACGACAGCCCCCCCCGTCCCCCCTCCCCGTCCCCGTCCCCTG